AGTAGAGAGTGTCTGATTGTTGTTTCTGGTCTGTCTGGTTTCCTGGATGCTGTTTCAATCTGTCTGACCTCATGTTCATCATTGACCTCTGCAGTCCCTCCCTCTGTGATGTAGAGCTCTGTGTAGATCTGATTCAGGAGGGTTGGGTTTCCTGCTTTAGTGATCCCCTCAAACACCCACTGGAACTTCTTCTTCAGAGTAGATTTAAGGTTACGATGACAGACTGTAGCTTGAAGTTCTGAATAAGAAGAAATGTGCAGAGTATCATTTGAAAGTGGAAATAAACAATTCCAAAAAGAATGAATGATGGTACATCTCTTGAGACAGTAGAAAATGTTCACTGATCCAGCAGCTTTACACTTTAGAGAAAGGTGTTCTGCTTCATCCATCTGAGTGTTCAGGAGTTTCTGGCTGCTCTTCATGTCCATCTGACCTTCATCAACTCTGGACTCAATCTGCTGGAAGAAAAACAAACATCGTCAAAGAAATCAAAATTATTTGTGAAACAAAGACATTTAATATCTCTCCACCAGACTGCTGTGAATAAAGCCTTACAGAGTCCAAATGGACACCTGGACTTGTTCCTCCGCTTCGTCCTTGGTTTTTCACTGCAGACCAGTCAGACTCTCCTACGAGGTCTGCTGACACAGACAGGAAGTAGCTCACAGACCAATCAGGAAACAGCCCAGTACATCAAGGAGAAGCTCAGTGAGAATCTGTCTGCAGAGAAAAGCATCAATCTGTTCCACTGTCTGAATGAACTGAATGATCGTTCTCTAGTGGAGGAGATCCAACAGTCCCTGAGATCAGGAAGTCTCTCCACAGCTAACCTGTCTCCTGCTCAGTGGTCAGCTCTGGTCTTTATCTTACTGTCATCAGAAGAAGATCTGGATGTGTTTGACCTGAAGAAATACTCTGCTTCAGAGGAGGCTCTTCTGAGGCTGCTGCCAGTGGTCAAAGCCTCCAGCAAAGCTCTGTGAGTAAATATTTGATCAGTCTTTTATTTATAACATAAACAGTGTAATGTGTGATGAACCCTTAAAAACTTAAACATATTTATTTAAATGATCATCAGCACTAAATAAAGTAGATTTTATTTAAAGGTTGATAGCAGCAGTAAATGTCAAGAGTTTCTTAAACATATCTGGGTGTCAGCTTTTATCAAAGTCATATCCAGAATCATCCTGTACTTAAACTTTATTTATACAGCAGCTTTCACAGGTCAAAAACCACAAAGTGCTTTACAGTAGAAACAGGCAATAAAAAACACAGAAGATAAAAACATTAAACAGCAAACACTGAACATCATACAGCCTAAAACTAGTTAAAGACCACTCTGAATACTACAGTCTGAATAAATTAGTTAGTGGGACCAGTAACAGCCTTTGACTGGAAGATCTCAGACTGTGAGAAGAGCTGTAGGATTGTAGAAGGTCAGAAATACAGACTGGGTTTTGACCACACAGGGCTCTAAAAGTAAGGACCAAAATGTTAAATGAATTCTAAAATGAACTGGTTCACGTGCTGGTTAACAGCCAAGCAGCATCATTCTGTACTGACTGAAGATGTTTAAAGTCTGTGATCAGCAACTCCCTCATTCCTCCTCTGGTCTTATTGCTCTGCATCAGTGCACTGTTCAGCTGAAGATGAGTTCACTTCTGTATGTCACAATCAGCCTCACCAGTACAGTTCCCAGGATCTGTAGCTGCTGGAAGATTCAATCATATTCCTCGTGTGTCTTCAGGTTTCCTGTTGCCTGATGTATTTGCTTGTTTTTTGTTTTGTTTTTTTCTTTCGATCTCTCCTATGTTGTGCACTTTTATTTCTGAGTGTACACAGTCTGTGACCATGACAATTTGTGACAGAATACAATGATCAGTGAGGACCCAGAGGACACTGACATTTACACTGTGACAGTGTGATGCTTGAATGACACTTGAGACTTGATCTCACTGCTTTGTGGACGGCTCTGATGGAAGGACTAATCACTATATCTGCTTTAGTAGAAATAATTTCCATGAAAACTTCACTGGTTCAGTCTCCCAGAATCTCTTGGTCATATCTTGACCTTATCCTGGAGTAACTAACCCTCACTCACCAGGATCTGAGCCAGCCTTCCCTCTCATTGCTGAATGCTTACAGACTTACTTATCACGTGTTCACAGAATGAGGACTCATCCCTTTTTGTTTAGCGTTGCATTTAATGAGCAAGTTCCAGGTTTTTATATTTATGCAGGGAACATTTTTTTTTAAAACTAAAGTGTTTTTTAGTCAATCAGAAATAGACAGATGTCAGTGTGCATTACTTTCTTTTAAATGTTACATAAGAAGATTTAAATTCATCACAAAAATTTTGTTATCAAATGACAATTTTTCAAATTATGATTTTATTTTGTTTTTGTTTTTAAGGCTGAGTGTCCCTGACCTCTCAGACAGAGGCTGTGAAGCTCTGTCCTCAGTTCTCAGCTCCCAGTCCTCTAGTCTGAGAGAGCTGGACCTGAGTAACAACAGCCTGCAGGGTACGGCATTGAAGTTTCTTTCTGCAGGACTGAGAAGTCCACACTGTAAACTGAATGCTCTGAGGTGAGATCAAGTTATGTTGTGCTTTTCATCAGTTGACAGAATTAACCAATACGAATCCACTAATTGGGGAAAAAGTCATTAAAACTTCTGCAATAGTTTTATGATAATTTAATGAGCAGAGAGAGTTATTGATCAATATTGACCAATATCAGCTACGTTGGTGTCAATTCACTGCTCTCACTGACCAGCACATAGTGCCCAATTAGCATTTGCCTTAGAATACCATTGATTAACCATTGTGCAAGTACCATTTTTGCTGTTTCTTAGTTGTTGTTTCTTTGAGCAGTGTATTTTAGCCAATAAATGTCAGTGTCATCCATTTGTTGTATCTTAGTAGGGAATGAAGGATTCTTTTAAAAAAAAAAAGGATTACATATTGCTAAATCTAATAACTCTTTAGTGCACCCTCACTGCACTTTAGCAACAGTGTTTGTTTAATGTTTATCTTTGATTTTTCAGACTGAGTCACTGTCAGTTCTCAGAGAGAGGCTTTGAAGCTCTGTCCTCAGCTCTCAGCTCCCAGTCCTCTAGTCTGAGTGTGCTGGACTTGAGTAACTTTGACCTGCAGGATTCAGGAGTGAAGTTTCTGTCTGCTGGAGTGAAGAGTCCACACTGTAAATTGGAAACTCTCAGGTCAGCATTTACATTTTTCCATTGTTGATAATTTCAAACCTGATAGTGCTGCACGAACAGCAACTTAACAAAATGTTTTAACGTAGATAATCAGTTTCTAGTATCAGTTATTATTTAATTTTGTTCACTTCTTGTTTTTCACTTGAAATGAAATATCAAGTCTGATTCTCTCAGTCAAAAATCATTATTTTAGCAGCACTTCATTCACCAAACCTTCCGGTTCAATTCCTGCCTGTATTCTGGAGACTTTGACAGAGCCGTTTGGAATCTAACAATGTATTAATATAACAGGGCTTGGTGCTTATGGAACGCCAGGACTGACATAATGAATTGTTTTGTTTTTTTGGGGGGTTTTTTGTGTCCAGTTTGGATCTATAGCCATCAGAATTGTTGTCTTAAGGCCAAGACAGATGCCAAGCGGATTTATTTTACCAAGTGGATCATCATGGCCTTGCCATATTGGTCCATTTGATTGACCTTTATTATAATTATGAATTTATTTTATTTTCAGTTGCTACAAACGGGACAGACATGACTGTGGGATAGGACAGGGAGAAAGAATGAAAGAAAGAGAGAGAGAGAAAGAAAACCAAAGGGGAGAAGAGAGGGTGAGAAGGGGGGGAAGAAAGAAAGAAAAAAACCCCAAAAAACCCGAAAAAAAAACAAAACACCTGGGTCACCTGTATGGAGAAAAAAAAACAGAAGAGAAAGCAAACA